TGCCGACAATTATATATATATATATATATATATATATATATATATATATATATATATATATATATATATATATATATATATTCACCATCAGATTCCAGACAAGGTGCCACCGGAACCATTGGAAAAAACGGGGAATACGAAATGAAATTGCGGTAAAAATCGACTTTTTTGTTTTGCACACGGCATTATGAGTTTCTTTATGTTTTGAACTTTTGGTCTTCGGCTACTCATTACCAATTTATGTTGTGGAATAACCCTGTCGTCACTGATATCTCTTGTGCGTTGTAACCTCCAGCACTTCATCCGCTTTCATTCCGAGTTGCGTATTTCCCATCATGGAAGGAGAACCGGTCCGATGGATGTTATATTTGAGGTTGTCTTCCGCATATTCCTTCTCCACATCATTGGTTCCCACCGCGGTGCTGCTTTTAGTTGCTTCCGGCGAACGTGAATAATGCTCCACGAGGAAGCTGTTACGCTGACATGCATAATACATGGCCAAGCCAACACTTGCGGTGTCGGAAAATAAGGTTTTTGGATGCATGGGCTGTTTGCTCCAGACACTCGGACTTAGATTTCTGTGTTACGTTATGTTACCACCACACGTTGGCAGTTCTAAACAGACAGTGATGGTCAAAGAATGACAAACGTTCCATGTCTTCCAAACTAGTAGTCCATGTCTCACAGTCTTACACCAGGACCGTACCGACAAAGGCAATGTACGCCTTGCCCTTTCTCTTGTGTCGGACCTAGCAATGACACCATAGGTGTCTTCGTCTGATGAATGCAAGGCAACCCTTTTCGCTCCATTGTGATACCTCATCTCCAGCGCCACCACCAGTCATAATGCAACTCCCTAGATAAGTGTAGTAGTGAACTCGTTCCATGGCGATGATAGTAATGGTGAGCGCAGGCACAGGCATCTGCAATTCATGGAGTAGTAATTTTCACTTGTTTAAAGTGAACTACAGACCATACTTAAACTACCCCATCGCTAGGCGGTACAAAACGCTATAAAGGTCTTGTGTATCGTCCATAAGCAAAGCGATATCGTCGGCGTAGTCCAAGTCCGCGACTTTTTCACCTGGCAGAAGTACACTACGGCAGATATGGAAGCCATCCAATGCTCGCTGGACGAAAACATTAATGGCAAACTTGAAGAGGAAAGGTGAAATAAAGCAAACGTGGCAAAAGCCACTCGTGACAGCAAGCGGAGAAAAATGGCTGCTATAAGCCTTGACTTTTTCCGACGTGTGGCTGCATAGTTCCATCAGAATTGGTGCAAACTTGCCGGGCCAACCGTTCCATTGTAGGTAGTTCAACAATGCAGATCTATCTACTGAGTCAAATGCCGCTCGAATATCCAAGAACCCTAAGATTTTTGGCCGTCGGTGGACGTGACAGATTACAACGATTTAGCGAAGGTTGAATATTTGATATATGCAATCTTTGCCTGGACGAAACCCGGCTTTTTCCTATCAGGAAACGCCCTCTCTGATCGCTGATAGCATATGGAGTGGGACGGACACGAAAACCTTGAACGCGACAGAAAACAACGAGCTTCTGCGGTAATTGGCACAATCTTTGCCTTTCTTGTGAATCGGAAATATGACCGATCCTCCCCATGTAATTGTAATTTTCACGTTACTTCAAACATTCGTGAACAGTGGTAGGATTTCGCTGACGAGCGTATTCCTGCCATCTTGGAACAGTGCCGGGGGTAAATTGTCAAGGCCGAAAGCATTATGACATTTCAACTAGTGGTTCACTCTTCGGATTTCTGCTTCGTTAGGAGGGTCTGTGCAAACAAGCCAAGCACCATCCGAGGGAAACGGTATAACAGTTGGCTGTGCTGGGTACTTAGATTGGAAAGCAGTGCTGTGTCCAGCGACCCAAACTTTTCTTCACTTTGGTGGTATTCGGGCCCTCTGGCTTAAAAATTCTTTAACTGATAGCATGTGAATTGGGAACGATAAACCTGATGAGGCAACCTAAACTGCGGAAGTTTCCAACGGACGCAGTGGCGCCCATTTCAGTTACACGTCTTGACCACTAAGATTCCCGGTCAGAGCGAACGCCTGACTTCAGCTGTTAGGAGATAGACGCGTGGAGTTCACTGTGTTCTGCACCTGTGGGAACAGCCCGTCGACGATCTGGGCGTTCCGAGGACTTTACAGAAATCCATCTTTTGGCTGTGTAGCAGGTGATGCCGGCGGACAGTACGGTTAGCTGCAACCTTGACCGGTGTGGATCGCCATCAAGAGTAAGTGCTCCAGTGAGAGTTTCACGAAACCTCTGTTGATGCTACGTTTGCAACCTTGGGTCTTTCAACTTTTGAGGTTTCCAGTCGGATTTGTTAAGCCTGCAAACTGTTGCACACCCTAATGCGTGTTTGTTTGCAACTTAAATTTACCAAGAAGGTATACGATTGCTTGCATTGCTGCGCCACCTGCGACTTATGGCTATGTGATCGGTTTGTGACCAGCGCTGATTTGACGGTGGAGGACGACAGGTGACACAGTGGATTCCATGCTGAGAAAAACTCGTATGGGAGAAGTGAGCAGCTACTGTTGTCAAAGCGAACATCAATACACCTTTGTGATCCCCTCGAGGTGGCATTCACACGGTAGCAGCCGATCGATACGTGCCTTTCAGTGTCTTGCTATAATAATGGTGCCTGTTGATGTTGATAGAACTAGTCCTTGACTGTATCCGAGCCCCAGCCAGTGGGAGCGTGGGCAAGGATCAGAAAAAGAGCATGGTTGTCTCCTCGATGTCTGCTAACCTTGCAAGAGCTACGGAGCCTCATAGCAAATAGGCGACTATTGATTGGAATCCAACCAAGGTTACTGCCTCGGCTCTGGTACTGAGTGCGATCACAACACCAGCTTAACCAGATACGGCAAACTCAGCATCACCAGAAAGTGGAGGATAGAAGGGTGTATGCGGGTGGTGTGATGACGACGGGCGGTAGACTATGTTGAAATCCTGAAGTCGTGTTTCACTCAGGCAGCACACACCGATTGCAAGGGGCTTCCATCGTGGGTTCAAGTCCAGATTGTTACCCGATATGCAATAACGTGTGAGCGTTAAAACGTGTCAGTTAAAGCTGTATTTCAGGTTGCAGTAGCGAAGAAGGCACATATCGGGGCTGGTAACTCGCTACCGAGGACTTTGTGGTGAAGGTGACGGATGGTAAGAATACAACTTCATCGGCAAACTTATGATTGTTCACCGTTGAGAAATCAAGTAACACTGGGAATGGATGTTATAGGCTTAGGATATACAAGTTGATGGCGTGTGTTTGTAAAGTTGGCTTACTAGCGCGGCGGTGGATCGTTATGAGAGCGGAAGAGAGTGAACGTAGTTGTGAGTTTCCATGTTTCGTTAGTAAGCGAAATACTACCCGGTTGCCTAGGCCGAAGTAGGTTGTTGGTTTTAGTGGACCAGGTCCCCGAGCCTTTGGTCAAAGTGATTAATCTACAAGGCAGCAGGACAAGACAAGTGTATCGCACTCGTTGAAAGCCGGTGACCGAGCCCTCAGTTCACATGCCTCTCGGACCGCAAAAGTCATAACAGGCGCCAACCTCTCCCGTAGTCCAAGGCAGAATCAGATGTCCGGATAGTCTGCTGATGTACAATGTCTCCGAAGAAGACAAGGCGCAATGAGTTTATTTTGTTGCCAGTCACATCCGGCACTTCGCACTGTTGCTAATAAAACCCTTGTGGTATTTAATAAGGAAAACGCCTGCCAGACGGAAACGCACCACCTCCCGGAGCACTGCCTGTACACCATTCGCCGAAAGGAGGAATCCTCGAACCGTCCAACTGGGACCACGGAGAAGTTACACGGCATGCCAGCCGATCAGTAGCAGAATCTTCTCTCTTTCCTTTCTCCTTTGTATGGTGGTGTAATGAAGATTTTATTGAAGGTTTGATTGCAGACATATACCCGCTTTTCGCTCCTCGGAATCTCTTCCCCGTATATAGCAATAAATTTGTTAGGATGGCCATTAGTACACAGGGTATACATGATATATTGTACTTCATTTATTAGGATGAATCAAGGGAGGCAGAATCTGAGTAAGGGATTCTTTTCGGTCATCCTTATCAGAGTCGGCCGATGGCCGATTGGTGTGCGCGTCTGGTGTGCAACCATAAGGTCACCGGTTCGAATCCGCGTAGGGGTGGGCGTCCTCGCGGTATCCTCAGCCCATGCCCGACTGGTGGTGGTCGCGTGGCGGCGAAGTGCCGTTACGCGTACAGCTGGTGATTTATTTTATTTATTTAATTTATCCTCATCAGCCTCAAAGATTACATGATGACGACAAGGTGCTAAATGGGCCGGATTGCGCTGCGTAGTGATCAGAATGTTTAATTCCAACAGGAACAAATCAATAAATCACGGGGTCATTGAAGGTGGCAAAGTATGTACACGGGAAATCACAGTCGAAGTTGTAGGTCACGGTAGAAGTAAAGGACGTACAGGCTGTTTTGTATGCACAATTCTGGCTTGAGGTGGCGGATGTAGATAGCTTCTGCAATAGACAGGAGATGGTTCCGGAATCCGCTTGAGAGGCGTCCCGAGATAGTAAAGATGATTCTGAAATCGTTTTCCGTCCCTGTATGGCTACACTCTAGAAGGTGAGACAAATTGGAGCTGTTACTAGACCTCACTTCGCCTTTGAAAACCACTTCGGGATGTGTTCGCGAATCCTATAAGATAGGCGCCTTGTGCCACTCAGATTCTGCCTCCCTTGATTCATTCTAAGAAATGGGGGTTATTGTAATTCAGCCTGGATTAACACTTTTGAGCGTATTCGGGGTTTCTTACGAAACAAATGCGAACTAGAACCAGTTGGTAGTTCAAAGGTCAGCGACTGGTAACGTGTAGGTATTGTCCATTCCAGCTCAGTTACCGGTAAATTGATCAACATGAATGCTATGCTTGGTCTATAAACCACCTCATAACTGTTTTGCAGGAGTCGCTTTCCAACCTGATGTTGGATAGCACCACAAAGTCTAGAATTCGGAACTCCGGTACCGCTTATAGCGCCTTCAAAATGAACAGCGGTTTGTGAGCAGAAGCGATTGTGACTCATGCTGTTGTGATTAGATTTAAGAGATCGTCTAACAATCTCGAGGCGGTAGGGCAACGTTAGTTTTTACAAGGTAGGAGACACATAATTTATAGTGTATTCCCGGATGCATGGTGCATGCTTGTGAAAAATCTATTATGTTTAGCATAGAATTTGTGTAATCTATTTTGTCTTCTGAAAATGCGTCATGTACGTGAATTTGAGCATCTGAAAGCATTTGTTGGACATTTTAATGAATCAGATTTGACAAGCTTCAGTGGTGCCACCTTGAATTTCCTGCACTGAGGCGGCGATTTGAAGAGTGCTAATTGATCCGCCTTCCTGTTCTTACACTGAGTGCAATGAGTAACATTGTACACGTGCTTTAAATTTGAGCGATGTATTTAGCCTATAGTATTTGTTATTTTGAACAGTGCTTCGTTTTGATGAAATTCCCCTGTATGGAGTCTTTCTGCTGAGCTGCGGATTGGGAGCCTTAACGGCTATTGCTGTGAAATTGATTTGGGTTCCGTATCTCCGACGCAAAATTACGAGTGAGTTCATTGTGGACATCACTCGTCTATATCCATTTATCTAGTATCGTGCCCAGAATTTGCTCCATGTTCTGCGTGACGATCGGAAAGTGTAGTTTACAGGCTGTCGTTTTCAGCCGATACAGAAATACATATATAAACGAAAACTTCTAATTCAGTGTGGAGGAGCCACTCACCGAGGCTCCTCTACTCGGCTCTACGCTATTACACGCCACTCAACTACGCACTGATGATGTCACCTCGATTGGTGACGAAACGTTTGCAACAAAATTGCCAAGCACAGCGAACAGTTCAACCGCCATTTGAACAACCTGAGCTACCAGTCTTCAATTCTATAGCCAACTGCTAATTCAGATTGTTCAGCTGGTCGTTGCACTCTTTGCTGAGCTTGGCAATTGTGTTACAGATGTTTAATCCCCAATCGAGGTGACATCATCTTGCGTTGTTGCGTTGCGTGTAATGAGGAAGCCACCTTGATTGGTGAGGAAAGGTCTGCAGTGAAATTGTCAAACTCCACGAAGAGTGTAACCGCAGCCGGGAGTATATGTTAGCTTTTGGAACTTCAGTCTGTAGCGTCAGGGCGACACTCGAATAAGGGATATACGGACGAGGAATCTGATTCGGTTTAAGTTCACCCAAACCGATTTCTTGCATTAACCCACAAAAATAACTACATTTGCAATCTTTCACCTCTTCAAAATATTCCAACCATTCGTTTTGACCAAAATGGGACAGAAATGCTTATGTCTATAAGCATTAGATACATAATGATACCACACTGGCCTGGTATAACGATTTTAGTTGCGGTTAGGTTCATTACAAGGTACTTACTTTGTTTATTTGAATACGGTTATTGCGTTCTAACCCGCTTGTTTCCCATCGGTTCAAGTATGTCTGCTTATGCTTGGTTGTAAAAGCCACCAAAGGAGCAATCTGACTTCGCGCTCGCATCCGAATATTTCTCCCAATGAGTTGAGGAATATGTCTATCAAACCTCCCTGCCAGTTTTGTGACTCGACGGCCATTAAAGTCTGAGTGCACCCTTACCTGTTGCTTCTTATTGTTGTCATGTTTGTCAAACTGGCCGACACACCTTTCTCCCCTAAGGACCGGAGCATGGTTGTCAATCTAGTGGATGACTTAAACGATATTTTCACTGTCAACTGCAATGAGGTGATTTCCAATGCTCGCTGGAAAGTAGCAGACAATGTTCCGCTGCCTAAGTGGGTTTCATGGAAGTTGGCACACTCCTCTCGTGTGCAAGGTAAGAAGCGTTCGATAACGAAATTGAGCTTTGTCTAGTCACACTCGGAAACATTTTTTATTTCACCAGCTAAAAGAATTATTGTCGTGAGTGGGATCCCTTCCAGAATCCTTTAGATTGTAATCCTTATGGTACTCGTATCCTTCACGGTTTCATTTGTTCAAATAGGCGCACCGTTTAAGGCAGGAGATGCAGTGATAATAGAGCTTACAAACCCGATTAAAACTCTTCTACCTGACAAACAGACGTGGTGCACAAGTTGTGTTCGCCGTAGAATTGACCACTGCGAGTCATCCGTACCGATTAATTATTACTCAGCTTATGAAAGTAAGACAGCTCAATGGCAGCAAATGTACTTTGAACAAATTCGATATTCCTAGCTAACAATCAGCCATAGATTGTTTATAAGTACTAGCGATTACGTGACGTCAATGGTTATGCTTGTACTAATTGCGTGACGAACATATACTTTGAGGTTGGTGAACAGTGGAGCCACATAGCCTTCAAACTAACGGTGGTACTCGCTTAACGGCAACACAAATGACTTGTGTATACCGAAAATTTAATTGGACAATCTCCGAAACTTCGTCACTTTTTGCTGGTCTATGGACCCAAGTATTCTAGATGTACCATTCTTAACCACTTTCCCCACCACAAATCTACAGCACATCACATATTCTGGTCAAGCGACGTTGTGGATCGTTTCTTCTTTTTTCCACTAACCTGTGCCTAGAAATGACTCAAGGTGTTATAAGGGTGGATTCGGTTCATAGAAGTGTTGAACACCATTGCTGTAGCCATTTGAGCAACACGAACATTTGGATATCGAAGTATCGGGGCTGTCCGTGATATAGCGATTGATAGTTCGGGATTGTAGTGCACAATTAACGAATCAAGCACAAACAGGAAGAACCGCTGGGTACTTGACGACATACCAACATCTGAATATGCCGGTTGCTTCTCAGTCAAAGCTTAACTCATAAAAGTATCACCAAAACGCTTGCCAGCTTGATGTAACTCCACATGCTAGGCTTCCAAAATAGGCTCAGTGAAATTGCTATCAGAGAGAAACAATGCTAATTTCAGCACATCAGGTTTATCGATTCGTTTATTTCATTGAAACGAAACTGAACTGTTAAACGCGTCCGGGTGGCAGGCGAATGTTAGTCTGGATTCGGTGTGACACACCAGCTCACGCAAATCAAACGCGGCATATGAAGCGCCGGAGGTGTTCAGCGCTGCATGTTGCTGTGTCGGTGTAAACTAGTTAGTAAGCGGACGGTGTGCTTTCTGAATCTCCGCTCCGTAGCTAGAATAAAATGAGTTGAAATTCATTAAATAATGCCACTTCTTCCTAATCAAATGACTTTGGTTTGCAGGTGGAACTTCCATGCAGATTTACTGGACGGGGAAGCTAAAGCAGTGTCGTCCCGCCAGATTAAGAATAGTTTCGTCCCAGCACAAAAGAGAGCAACGCTCGAAGTCTACACAAACGAACAAGAAAGCTTCTTTGTCCGATGTAACTGTACGACAAGCTTCAAGTGACTTATCAACGGAACTGGAACTAGAACATTCTGAGATGGAGATTCACGAACCAAATGACTTGAACAACAATGCGACATTGGTTAACCCGGGTAAAGAAAATGATGAGCATAGGAAACAAGTCACAAGAAAAAGAAGCAAAAGTCAGTGTTGTTGTTTCGCATACTCGAAAGCAAATCACACGGACCCTACGAGTGAGCAGAATGTTATGATAACACATGTATTTGATAAGATTTATAAAATGGAGCAATGATATAGTACCGGTAGAGAAGAGAGCGCTTTACCTACCATAAGGTATGGTAGGGATGAGCATTGAAACAGGATACACAAACCAGCTTACTGTGTCGGTACAAGTAATATTCCCAGAAAAAATAAAAGAATTACATCGGTTCGCATTACATTCCGTACAAAACCTAATACCATAGAGTAATTCACATAGTCACATTTCAGAGCATTCCAGTCTATGCACTAGAGCTCGAGGAAATCAGAGCGACACACAACTGCTTTTGGACAAAAGCCACTGCTGGGTTTATGTGCTTCGTTGGACGTAATTTAGTCATCGATATCGGAGCGCTGCAGCGCGCTTAATTGTCAGCCAAAGTTAGGAGGCAAACGCCTATTCGAGCTGTGTGACGGAGGGTCAAGAATTAAATGTCGGAAAGGGATACGAGTATGGGTCAAACAGAACGTTTGACGTGATGGACAGTTTGAAAAAGGATGCGAAGATGGAGGGCAGGAGCAGCGACATCACTACCTAAATCCACTCGCCTGATGGGTAGTGAACACCATTGAATCTCCTCTAAAATGACTACGGTATCAAGAAATCATTTAAAGAATTGTCCATAACATCATATAAGCAGGATGCCGTCAGGATTCCCAGGTCTAGAGAAGAAGGCGTCTACCCATCGCAATCATAGAAATTGCTTTAGTTGGGCAGTAGCCTGGGGACACTATCGTCACGGGTGGACAGCCAGCCTTCCCGATTGAGCATGTTTTCGGTCACACATATAAATGTGCTATACGCTATATATATATATGTATATATATATGTATATATATATGTGTATACATATATATATATATATATGTGCCCCATGCTGAGGCTGATGTTGCATTCTTGATGCTTCTTCACCGCAGTTGGGCTAAACCAACTTACACTTAAACTAGGTCTTTTTAAGCTGGATAAATTTCATTCCGCTTTATTTGGTTTGTTCTGCCTCCCTGAATAATGTTCTATTAACTGGCCACGTTGCTTACACTAATTGCGCTTATCTTCGGTAATTTTGTTGCGTTTGTAGCATTTTAAGTAACTTGTGGACATTGGCTACTTATCACGGATTTGTTGCTAACCAACTTACTTCATATGGTAATTTAGCGAAGAGTTATGCCACCGTATCTGTATGCATTATTGGATTTATTTTATTTCAGCTTGTCGTTTAAATTGAATGGCTGTTGTTTGATATCCCTGGTATGGTTGCGCTTGATGTGCATGTTGACAAGGTGCCTACCTGTCTATTACCCACTACATCGTTCATACTGGCTCCAGGAGACAGTTGGTCGTTGCTGGAGGGGACGGGGTGCACGGTTCTTGTGGCCGTGTTAGGCTCAAAGAGCGGTTCCATGCACTCAGTGTGGAGCGGACTACGGTCCAGCCACCGCCTTGTGTGCGGTTGATTCCCCAAATACAGCGTGCTTGTGTTTGCCTGTGAAGGAGTGTGGGCCGGCTCCGTTGATGAAACGTGGTTCCCATCCGCATGCCTCCCGGTCTTATTCCTTCGGGTTTACACTGGATATGGGGTATGTGGTTGGAGCTGTGGGTGGTGCAGCGCAAGCCATCCATGGTCTCTCTGTAGGCGCAAGCGTCCTGTGGCTTGCCACAGTGACAGGCAAATCCGAAACCGGATGCCGCCAACCAAATATATATATATATATATGTATATATATATATATATATATATATATATATATCCGTCCATGTGCTTTTCTTTACTGCGATTTTGACTTACGGTGACAATCGATATTTTGACATCGAAACCTATATCCGCTCTGCTTTGACGAAATAACCGGAGGGGACTGATTGTTTCAACTTGGCTTGACTGGTGTTCCTTGGCTACTCACCTTATGCTGCTTTGTAATTTTTGTTGTCTCTATATCGCGTTGTCGTTGTCGTTGTTGTCTCTATATCGGGTTCAAGAAACTTTCGTACTTGGCTCATCTTTGGTTAAGATAATCTACTTAGGTGTTTCCGTCAGTTCGCTTTTTTCGCAAGTTTAGTGAGTTACAGGAGACCCTCGCTTTGTAAGGCATGGTCCAAAATCTTTCCGTTTTGTATAACTCACTGCAGCGATCGAGATGATTGCCCGTGATGAGAACTGCTCCAACTACGTGATTCACACAATTGCTGTTGATTTCCTCGGCACCGTTAAAATGGATGAAGAAGTTGCTAAGAACTCAAGTACGCCAAAAGAACCTAGTTCCAAAACGTTACACTCTCTGTCAAGAACGAACAAGGTAAGTGTGTAGGGAGCTACAGTTTTGCGACTAAAAATCAGCAAGTTCATTTAGCTTATTATTTTGTATAAAATTGGACGCGTCTAATGACTTTCATCCGATGTGTTGGATCGAACTGTCTTCCAAATCGTTAGGAACCACGAAGTCATCAAGTATGATCAGAAAGACATGATCAACCCATCCGGCTTTCCAACAACTCGGAGCATCAGCTCGTGATTGCAGTTTGTTGATCGAGTGAATTGCACCAGAATTGATTACTTGTATTGAATAGAAGAATCACAGAAACCGTAAACGACTGCTGGTGTTAACAAGAACAAGAATAACGATTTACCGGCTCACTAGCAAAGGGGAATTCATTACAACCGTCTTACACACACCCAGTTTTCCTACGTAGACGTAGCGGAAAGCAATGTGTCCTCTAAAGAGGGAATCAAAAGTGGACACTCATACTATACAGAGATTAATCAAGGTCCGACGCAATAGTGCCTAGTTTGCTGCATTTTGTGATACAAGCTGACATAAAGCAGCAACTTATGGTTGTATCTAAACTTGTTTGTATCTGCAAAACATATCTGCTAACAAAACGCTGTCACTTTGTGCACGATTATAGAGAGAGACGAGGGACAGTATCAACCCAACTTGAGGCTCTAACAACGAACTCGAGCTCAGTTTATCGCTGTATGGTAAGGGTTGGACGGCTATCGTAAGCTACATCTGGGTGCGAAAAAATAGCAAGGTAATCCATTTCAGTGCCACGATGTAGAATATAGAGACTGTGCACCTATTTATAGCTAGTCAACATCGATAATAATTCAAGAATCTGGCGATCAACCGCCGTCCACTATAAAACTATGGCTTTATTTGCTATGACCTGTTTATTCGAAATGATCACATGACAGTTCTAAGCAGAACCAGTCGGTAGTGTTATCTGATGGTAACACAGTCTACTGGTTCTACATTTATAGCATGGCTAAAGTGCTAACCACTACTTTTGATATTTTTCTGACAGAAATCGGGGGAGCGCACGCACATCAAAGACAGACCAGAGGAAGCCAAAGTTTTTGCGTTGCTGCAAATTGTCACTGCTGTTTTCGGATCGTTTGCTCATGGGGGCAACGATGTCAGGTACGGAGCAAAAGTGTAAATTGGTTGCATACGCCAATGTGTGATGAGTTTGGAGTGAGCACACATTGTGTAAATGGGGAGACTGCGTAAAGCGATTATTGGTTAGTACTTGCGAAGATTACCAGGTAATTTTATGTGTTAACATTAAAAGTGAAGTAAGTGGAGATTCACTGTTACGCATTTGAGCTGCTCCAGACGACTTTTCAAAAAATACCATGTATTCGCTTCCAAGAAACTGAGCTACTATATCTGCCAAACATTCTGAAGCCATTGTGGCAACCGAAACATCTTCGTCTCAGAATCGTTTTAGTAGCACAGCGCTAAGTGGTGTTCGACCCAGAGCGGCAAGGGTAAATATCGAGTGTGACATCCGATAATAATGGACAAAGTGACATGGGACGAATTTCCATCATGCGAATATGTAGTAAAATAACATTTAGTGGTGTTAGCGGAAAGAAGCAAACTCTCAGATTGCAGGCTCCGTGAAGCATCAGAATCATCTTTCATCAGTGACCTAATTGGTTTTTATCAAATATAACACCTGCTATGGTGTCTAACAATACCTTGATAATGCTGCTTCTCCCATGATGCTGAATTTAATTCATTCGTCATCCTGATTTTCGAAAGGCATAAAACACACTATAAGCTCTCTTATTAGATGGCGCTGCAGGTTACGTTGTTGCTATTAAGAAACATTATATCACAAACTCTGAATAACACTAGTACTTTGGGCGAACACGGGTAGCTTAAAGCATAGATCTGCTTGAATGAGCTCAGAACGGACTGTGATGCACCAGCGGATCACAGTGTGTATTTTCTTAGCATGGAAACACAGCAAGCACTCAGGAGTAGTGGCTATGCATCACACACAAAGCTGCTGTACGGTGGCTTACCAACTTCTCTCTAATTTCTAATTTCAGCAACGCTATTGGGCCCCTGATCGGCCTATGGATTATCGGCACAACTCAGATGGTAAATTCTGAATCCCCTACTCCTCTCTGGATACTGTGTTATGGTGGACTCGGAATAGCTGTGGGGTTGTGGATATGGGGTCGCCGTGTGATTCAAACGCTCGGTAAAGACTTAACCCACATCACACCATCTACGTAAGTATGAATAACAGCTCGACTGCACATTTTCAGGCATTTTCAACGGCACATTCATGTGATTTTATATTACTGATTTTTTATAAGTAATATCAAATTATTCGGTTTTATCGCTAACGCATTCTCAACTGGCGTTACTATTATGTGAACGGATTATGCGTGCCTTCTCTGACCTAACTATTCTTGTTCCCAATCGTATCACAGAGGAGTATGCATTGAAATAGGATCCGCGTTGACCGTTTTGATCGCAAGCAAGATTGGTCTTCCAATTTCAACAACGCACTGCAAAGTCGGGTCGGTAGTTGGTGTTGGAGGGGCCCGCTCAAAGGACAGTGTAAACTGGGGCATTTTCCGGAACATTCTAATAGCGTGGTTAGTGACATTTCCTGCTGCTGGAGCCTGTTCAGCATTACTTATGTACTGTTTCACATTCGTTGTATAGAGTAAAAGACAAAAGGATCAAAAAACAACCCTTTCGTTCCAACATATTTCTCAACATGGTGCAATTGTACTTTACTATTACCTCGATGAGTGCCTGCAAATTGTCATGAAACAAATCTACCGTGACATTAAATTTGGAATATTTTAAAAGCCTGTACAATCAATCGATCAATACTCGGAGGTCAAAATTAATCTCTGATAATTGCTTTTTGCCATCATTTCTCTACACATAGTCGTTGCATTCCGCCTGTAAATATTCTAACTGTTGGCTGTAACATCAGTATTTTCTGCGTAGCCTTTCGTCGTCTTGTTCTTCATTTCTATGTGCGAGTTGTCTTGGCTCATTTCATTTAAGTCGAAGCACTGAACTAATGGCCACCCATCTTACTGTGTGTTGGCAGTTTGTCTATCGACTTGTCTGATGGAAATCATTCGAGGGAACGAAATCCATGGTGCATAGTCATGGACCTTCAGGATTCACTCAGAAGTAATACATGCCTTGTCAAATGGTTTGATCGAATCATGATTCTCACTACGTTAAAATAAACTCCGCTTGAAGTTCAAACCGAAAGATACTTCCTGAGGACGCTAACAGTGACCAGGCAATGCTATCGCGGAGAATTTACTCAGATTGCAGCCAGCCTACTCTTGGGTGAGCAGTCACCGTTGCAGCTATCACACAACTCGACCCAAATTGATGGAACTGTAAAGGACCGTTATCTAATAAGTTCGAGTCCAGAGGCAAAAGACAATCTTAGACAACAAACACACAATAGATGAACAAGTAAGCACATTTGCGTTATAGTCCTTCCCTCAGTCAACGTTAATCCGATGCCGACTAGCGATTCGAAGATATAAATCGGACTACTGGAAAAACATGGCGGCAGCACAAACACAGGCAGTAGCGAACGATACCAGCACGACGTGAGAGCGTTGAAATTGTTGCAACCAGAAGTTCTATATTTAAACAAATGTTACCAACTGGTAGGAAACGGACGTGATAAAAACAAAGATAAAATATAAGCTAATCACAACCGCAACAGAACTCTCCCCCCGCTCTAGAGCGTGTACTGGGAAGCAACACTCGATATAGCGTTCATGAAACGTATTGTGCTAGTGTGGATAGGAATGAAACAACACCACCTGAACGTGTGTGGATAGGATCGCTCGTCAGGAGGCACAGGGATTCCGAGGTTTGGGAATTGGTCATGCGTCTGTCAGTAAGCCACTGCCAAGATACAGGAGGGTTGTGAGTGGTTGTGATTGATTCTGAACTATCCAAGTTTGAATCGACGTATGCTGGTTTAAGATGATCAACGCTTACCGACTGCTTGGATCCATTCTTATCCAGAACGAAGTACTTTGGTTTCCGTAATAAGACCTTGAATGAATCTTCATAAGGCGGCGTCAAGGGTCTTCGAACAGCATCGATTCGGATAAAGACGAATGGACAAGTGTGTAAGTCAGGATGTATATGCTGTACGTGCCCCATGCTGAGGCTGATGTATCCATGAGGCTTCTTCACCGCAGTTGGGCTAAACCAACTTACACTTAAACTAGGTCTTTTAATGTGGATAAAATTCATTCCACTTTATTTGGTTTGTTCTGCGTACTTGATAATCTCCTAACTTGCACCCGTCGCTCATGCAAATTGTGGTAAACTTGCGTAATTTTATCGCGTGGTATTTTTTAAATAACTTTCAAACATTTTGTACTTATTGCGGATTCAGTTATAACCAATTTCTTCCATATGCTCATTTAGAGAGTATTTATGTCGTCATATGCGTTTACTTTATTCGATATCGGCATTTTGTGTTATTGGCTGTTGTTTGACATCCCAGGCGTGGCTGCGCTTGATGTGCATGTTGACAAGGTGCCTACCTGTCTATTACCCACTACCTCGTCCATCTGGCTCCAGGAGACAGTTGGTCGTTGCTGGAGGGGAGGGGGTGCACTGTCCTTGTGGCCGTGCTAGGCTCGAAGAGTGGTTCCATGTACTCAGTGTGGAGCGGACTACAGTCCAGCCACCGCCTTGTGTGCGCTTGATTCCCAAATACAGCGTGCTTGTGTTTGCCTGTGAAGGAGTGTGGGCCGGCTCCGTTGATGAAACGTAGCTCCCATCCGCATGCCTCCCGGTCTTATTCCTTCGGGTTTACACTGGATATGGGGTATGTGGATGGAGCTGTGGGTGGTGCAGCGCAAGCTATCCATGGTCCCTCTGTAGGCGCAGGCGTCCTGTGGCTGGCCACAGTGACAGGCAAATCCGAAACCGGATGCCGCCAACCATATGCTGCACGCGCGTGCTTAGTCGAGGTAGTGTCGGTCTAATGGATCAAAAATCGTGCTTCCGGCGCTCAGCATAGGAGGTAGAGTTCAATTCGCTGGTGATTCGTGAGTTCAGTATCATCTCCCCAGGGAGTCTGAGGGTTGTGCCAAAATAAAGTTCGGCTAGGCAGCATCCGATCTCTTCTTTGACGGTATTGCGAATACCAAGAAGAATAGCTGGAAGTCGTTCAGGCCAACGGGTATCAGGCGAACTAGCTGTAATGGCGGCTTTCCGTTGTCTTTGAAATCGTTCGACTAAGCCATTGGCTGCAGGATGATAGGTAATCGTCTGAAAGTGAGTACAACCAAGTAACCGACTCAAATCAAGAAAGAATGGAGCTGACGTGAGATCCACTGTTAGTAGTGAAAGTGGCTGGCACACCAAAGAATGAAATCCACGATTCAATGAAATAGTGTTGCTAGTGAGCAAAAGTTTCGGAGGATATAGCACATAAGTGAATCATGTGGAGAAAACGAGTAAAATGATCAACATAAGTCAACAGAAAAATGAAACCGTTAGAAGCAGGTAACGGTCCTATTACCTCAACGTTTATCTGGTTGAATTGGGATTATGGGAGTGAAAAAGTACTAGAAGTTGTAACAGTGTGTCTATGAGCCTTACTGGTTTGACAACTAAGACAAGTTTTGGCCCATTGTCAAACGTCTGTGCGCATATTGTTCCAGATATAACGGGCGGTAATTAGTTTCACAATCGACTGAATACTAGGGCGTGATAATCCATGAAGATTGTCAACAACCACTAGCTGGTAGGACTGTGGAACAGAAGGTCTAGGTTTACCGGTGGAAATATCGCAGTAGATTTTTGTGTCAGAATTGAGCACGGGCAATTACAAGCGTCTTACCGTAGCGTTCGATCGATGCTGTATTACTTGCGGGTCACTGGCTTGGGCGACAGACCTTAATTCAAGATCGATGTCCGAGCGTGAAAACTGACGAATGCGAGCACAAGATAGTGCGTCGGCAACAAGGAGGTTAGGAGCATCAATATTACGAATCTCAACACAAAATTGGGAAGTTCAAGTTCGGATGGGGCTGGAACGATAGGAAAACGCCGTGAGTGTTCCATCTTGAGTGGATCGTTGAACCAGGAATTGATGAGGTGCTCAGAGTTCTTGATGGATCTAAAACGGAACACCCGTACCGCACCCTGACCAATCAGTTAATGCCCACGGTTCCTGCCCAAGCAGTCCATGATGTGTCAGTCACGTGAAGTAAGCAAAGGATAGGAAGAGAAATCGATGGTACAGAATAAGGACGTGCACTTGAAGTAAGAGGATAATACCAATGCATGAAGAAAAGTAGAGAAAAGAAAATCGAAGTATGAAGATACGAGCTACTTAGGAAAAGGAAAAGGTTTCGTGTTGCCACCCAAGAGCCTCAAGTTGCTGCTCAAACCCCTTAACCGTAGAGGCCCTGATAACACTCTCCGAAAGCAAGTTCCAGGGAACGATGACTCGGCATGACAACCGGATTTCCGCCCTAATCCGATCGGACCGCAGTTTGTCCAGCTTCAAGGAATAATCGCGTAGAACTGACAATCTAGCGAGACTGCATAGCCAAGATAGATGTGGACCGACCTTCCCAGTTAGGATACGGTAGGTTGGAATTAGGTCACCTCTAAGCCTTCGGTAATGCAGTGAATGCATTCCCAAACTAAGTAGATGCTCGGGGTACGTCCGTCTCCGTACTCCCTCGACTAACCTAGTACCCACCCGTAAAACCCTCTCTAGCTCCGTTTTGTCCCAGACTAGGCAGGGCGGACAAGCCTAGAAGCAGTATTCCAGATGAGATCGAACGAAAGCCGAGAACATTCTCGCAAAGATTCCACCCGTCAAGCTTCCGAAAGAACGGCGTATAAGCCATCATCCGGGGGCAACCTCTGCTTGCGACCTTCTTCCAGTTGTCACCGGAGTGTAAAGTCGAAGAGTGTACGACGCCCAGATCAACCTGGCTAGATACACGCGGGACTTCGACCCCACCGACCAAGCACTTCTTAGGAGGATATCCTTTTCCAATTAAAAGAACGGCGCACATTGTCTGGTTTTTAGACAGTAACCATAAAGTAGACCAGTCTGACAGCTTATCCAAGGCTCGCTGAATAGCTTCGGAACCCCCAGGAACCTCTACAACATGCCAGAGCTTCAGAACATCAGAAAAGAGTAGTGATGGTACTTCAAGCTCCGAGAGTGGGTCATTCACATAAATAGAAAAGAGCCGCAGTCCAAGAACCGAGTCCTGCTGCACGCCACTGAGGACAGACTGCCTAAACTATAGGCCACGGCCTACCAGCACACACTGTTCACTACCATCCAAGAAGGCAGTCCAATATTGTTCAATAGTGCGAGAGCCTCAACTTGGCTACCTTGTCAAATGCCTTGGAAAAGTCAATGAAAATCAAGTCTAGTGCTTGGTCGTTATGCACTGCATCCGCCAGTAGATTTGTCAGAGAGGAAAGTCCCTTCCGGAATCCGTGTTGTAGTTTGAGAAGTAGATTAACTCTATTCAGATGACTCTCCAATGAATCTCTCACCAGTTTCTCG